GAGGCAAAAAATTATCATTGAAGGCGTTGAAAAAAGCCTTCTAAGTAACTCCAATAACCCCACACACATACTTCCACCATTGACCCGCATCTCTCTTCAGTTAGAAGAATGCCAGGCTCACTCTCAAACTATCGTCCTCGATGCCAAGCATCTTGAACGTCTTTACCATCTGTTCTAACCACTCGTCCGCCTTCAATGGCTCTTTAGGATCACCTAAAAACTCATCCAGATTAGATCGGAAGAACTCCCTCTTCAAGAAAGATGGCCCTGCCTCAGCTGCCTGATTCCCTGCTCTAAGAATACCCAAAGCTCCTAATGAATGACTTCAAGTATGACGGCCCTGCTTCATTAACTTGGGCTTGGACTTGATTCTCAGCGGTGAGAATTCACAGGCTAAAGCACCCATGGCCTACTGACCCACTAGTTCGACCATATTGGCCTGGCCAACCCCTTCTTCTTGTGTCAGAATCTCATCCGGTAACAGCACCTCATGTCGTCTAGGCCTACCACGCCTACCACCACCACGTCCATATTCTGACATCCTAATGAAGGTAACAAAAGAGATTAGCACATTTATAAATGTGCTGAAGCTAACTCACTCACGTTCTAAGTCAATGGACAACAGTAATTAATTCCACATAAGCATGTAGTCACATAAATACATATGAATTTCCTTCCTAGATAATGATCATTTCGTGGCTTTGCCAGAGTTCCAATTAGAAATAACAGTGATTAGGTGCTATTCTAATAGGACTTCTAGAACCCATAAACCTAATCAATATCTTAGAAATTAAATCCCACATGCATATAATCACATAAGCATAGTATCATACAACATACCAATCATACAAACATCTCTATCAAGCGAGATAAACCCATTGTGGTAAGAACCACTTCCCACGTACCGAAAGTATTCAAACCCGATACGCTCTGGTACCAAGTTGTCACGCCCTGAAATAATTACAATAAACCATCCACAATATTAATTACGTAATAACATGCGATGAAATAGTTATCTTCCATTAATCCTAATTAATTGTAGAAAAGGGTAACATATGCAAATCTACATTCATAAGTCCAACCCTGAATCTATAGCATATATTACAACAAGAGATAAGATATGAGAATAAAACAGATATTAAATGCTCTAAAGGCTTACAACTTTCCAAGACAGTGCTTGGTTAGAACAAAAGAGGAATTCAAGTCTAATACAGTTAAAGGCCCTTGGCCTGTACAAAACATATAAAAAAAAAAAAATCAACAAAATGAAGCTCTTGCCCTAAGTCCTCCCAAACTCTTGCCTTGGAGAAGGCATATCATCAACACCTGAAATATTTTCTCACATGGAGTGAGCCAAAGCCTAGTAGAAATAATCCAACACAGTAATGCAATGCTAGTGCCAAAATATTTTATATCTTTTTCCAAAACTATGTAATGCCATGCTAATATCGTAATTCATTTCATTTACAATAAAAAACAGGGCAGTGAATCACACTCTGGGAATCTTAAGCAAATACAACCTTTCACGAAAATTTCGTCCGCGGGAAACTGTGAATTAGCACCCATGTAAATGTAGGCTATACAAGCAGTACTATTGTCATTTTACGGATATTTCGTCGGCGGGATTGGCACCCATATATACACGCAGTTTTAAGACTTTCACCATGGATACTTAGGCCAACTTATTTCAACGAGACAATATATATTTTCCAGATTCACTTATTTTTCACAAAACGATAAACATTTCCAAAGTATAAATGTGAGATAACGCTCAATGCAAATGAATGAAAAAATAGTTTCAATTCCCCTAATTCTCATACAATTTCTTCAATAATTATAACTATCTTCCACCGATAGCCCAAAACAGATATTTCTAAACAGATACTTAAATCTCATTAAAGATACACTTTCCAAATTTTCGAGATATGAGTGATAATACATATCCAACTCCACCATCCTCATCAAAACCAATCCAATTTCATATTTCCAACATCAATTCATTATTTACATAAAATTCATATTTGAGACATTTAGGGAAAAATCCCATTTTTCTTCCAAAATCAATCCCAAGTATCAAAATCGATCATTTCATTACAACTCAACTTTATTTCCAACACCACAAACATTTCGAAGAATCCATTGTAAAAACCCCTTTTTTGATCTTTAACCCAAAGCCCTAGATTTGTTTCAAAAATCTCAAAAATCACAATATTGTTTAGAAATCGTAAATAACTAAGTTAAAACTCCTAGAAGGTGCAAAGAATCCCCATCTCAAGTTTAGAAGACGAGAGAAAGAGTGATGGACCTTCAACAACGCCTAAAACCCAACTTTGTTCGGATCAAAATGAAGCTCACGGCGTGTTTTACCTTTTTAACAAAGGGACACGGGTGAAGAACTCGACGGATGTAGGTGTATTTGTAGAGAGAAGTAGAAGTTTAGAGAGAGAGGGTGTAGATCTAAGGTGTTTAGAAAGTTTAGAGAGAGACAGAGGTGAAAAAAATGACTCAGAAAAGTGACCTTGCAAACTAATATACGCATAGACTGCTCGAGCGCAAGAAGTGTTTCTTGAGCGTCCAGATAAAAAAAACATGAGACCACTCGAGTGTAGGAATTTTGCTCAAGCAAAGAATACAAACTTCCAGAAGCTTTGAAGACTGAAGACCACCACTTGAGCTCAATAAAGATCGCTCGAACTAACACTGCTCGAGCGCAAGAAAGACCCTCGAGCGGAAAATGCCAACTCCCAGTATCTTTGCAAACTTGCAAAAGTACTAGAAATTCACAAAGACCGCTCGAGCGCAAAAAGTGCTGCTTGAGCGAAGAAGTAGAATTCTAGACAATAACAGTTTGAAAATAAGCTACCTACCTGTTCCAAACGCCACCAACACTTCCCAATAGCCAAACTCAAAGAGAAGTAAGGAGAAACTAGACATGAACAACTGTATACAACAATGAAACTCAGATAAAAAAAAAATCAAATGGGTTGGGTCTAAATGAGGATCGCTATAAAAGGGCAAATCAGTCATTTATACTTTTTTTTGCTTATGTCATCAAGATTCGTCTAATAGGTCTAATGTCCACTTCATGATAGATGGATTTGTGAAATGAGACTATTACAACGGTAGGAATATGATTTCCAAAACGTCAGGGGTTGGTATGTAATCAGGCCAAACATTAGGGGGTTTTAGTGTAATATATCTTGATTTTTTATTTTTTAGTTTTTTATTGACGAAAGTTAGTTGTTAGTTGTTAAATTAATACATTGGGAGAGTTGAACTATCACCGTTTCCTTTCAAGTACTTAAGTCTTGCCTCATATTCCACTTCTAAGAGTGGAATCTAAGATCTCGCCTTAATAGAGATTTGGTGGTTAAAAAACTAACCACACATGTTAAATCCCCTTGATTTGAAAAAAATACTAATTAGAGTCTTAACTGCTTTTAACAACATCGTAAATGTGTAAAAGTTATATTCAAACATAAAAATAAAATTTTAAACTTATAAAATTTGTATGAAAATTTTAATTTTTTTTAATCATTTTTCAAAATTATTTTTTAAGAACAACTTAACATTAACATGGCCTTTAAGATAAAGAATTTCTATGTGTTGTATTTGCTAGAGTGGCCTTGTGGATCAAAGCATATAGCAGTGAGTATTAGCACTCCGTTCATGATGTTGTGGAGAACTTGCAGTAGGTTCGGCATTCAATACAGTGAGCTCTGGGATGAATGGTAGTTGGGGTGATGTGCATAGATCCGTTTTAATTCGATCCGTGAGGGTTCGTCCATATCTGCTTGAATGAGGCAAATTTTATCCAACCTGTCACTTATGTGAGGCGGGAGTAGATTATATTTTGGTCATCCGCAACAGGGGTTGGGCGGGGGCGAGTATCGCCTCCCCCGATCCAAAGCTACCCCCATATAATTAATAATATATAAATAAATAATATATATACACTACAAGAATTTTCACTTTTGGTGACTAAATTTTTAGTCGCCAAAAGTCAATTTTTTAGTCGCCGAAGGGCTTTAGCGACTAAATTTTTTGGTCGCAAAATTAGTAGCCGAAGAGTAGTTGGGAAAGCTAATTGCTGACTAAAATTATTTAAGTTGCCAAATGTATTCATTTGCCGACTAAATATTTAGTCGCCAAAAGGTTGGACATTAAATTAAATTAGACCCTTTTCGGTGACCAAACTTTTAGTCGCCTAATGTCCCATCTTTTTAGCTACTAAAATTTTAGTCGGCAAAGAGTTCTTTTTTGGCTACTAAAAATTTAGTCGCCGAAAGTCTCCATCTTTGGCTACTAAATGTTTAGTCGACAAAGAGTTCCTCTTTTGGCTACTAAATATTTGGTCGCCTAAAGTTCTACATTTTTGGCTACTAAAATTTTAGTCGGCAAAAGTGTGTTTATAATTTAGTTTTTTGTTTTTAGCTACGAAATATTTTAGTCGCGAAATATTTGATTTTCTTTTAGCTACTAAAGTTTCAGTTGCCAAATGTCTATTTTTTTTGTTTGTTTGTTTTTGGCTACTAAACTTTTAGTCGCTAAATGTCTCTTTTTTTTTTTGCCATAAAACTTTTAGTTGCCAAATGTCTTCTTTTTTTTTTTGCTACAAAACTTTTAGTCGCCAAATGTCTTTTCGCAATTTCTTTTTAACTACTAATTGTTTAGTCACCAAAAACATGATATTATGTTTTATCGCAAAATTATAATTTCTCTACAACTTGTCTATATACAATGCAACCTGTAATACGTGTAAAAACAAAATGATACATACTATCAATCATTCCACAATCTGCATCCATATACCAAAAATAAATAACATTAAATATCAAAATCTATACAAATCAACTATTGTCCAAACTAAAATAATAATTCCATACAAAATATATCATACAAAAATCAAAGCCCTCCGTACAAAAAATACATTTACTACCAAGCGAAATTACCATTTGGCATGGTACAAATTGACCATCTTAATCTGTACCACAACAAAAGGTGATAATGTACCACGACAAAAGTTTTCTATGGACCATGACAAAACTCCTATATGTATGCCGACAAATGGTATATATGTACCATGACAAAAGGTGATCTATGTACCACAACAGTCATTATCTGTTGATTGCCAAAAGTTTTTCTGTATCAGAATAATGAACTACACAAAAACTGAGGACGACAAAAGTATTATATTAGTTCTACACAAAAGTGAAAATTCTTCTCCATACACCAATATGGATTATCCATAAGTCCACTCAATAAAGCCATCTACAAGAAAAACAAAAACGAAACATTAGAATTGGTTACAAAATATCAATTCAGTCAGTCATATGGGAAATGTTCTAACATGCATTTAAGGTAGAACAATCGAGAAATGTCTTCTTCGAAATTATAAAAAGTATATATATATATGTATCATGCAATATTTATTCCAACCAACTGCACAAACAATGTAATATGTAATTTCTTCGTTCTATAAATATATAAAGGCAATTATTAGAATATGTAGATGTTATTTTAATAAAGTTGTTGCTTTTTTAACTAAGTGTTGCGAGTTTTTCGACTAAGTGTAAGGCATATTCGGGGGCTGTTATGAATTTTTGCCTCAGAAAACCATTTTTCGAGTAAGTTTAGGGCGTATTCGGCTCTAACTCCCAACTTACGGGTCCGAATTACGTTCTATAAGATCTCACAAGTCCTATTTTTCATGGCGAAGCTATCCGTGTGAGCCACATGGTCGTTCGGCGGCTGTTTTGAATTTTCTCCCTCGAAACGCCCGTTTTCAACAAAATTTAGGGTGTATTCGGCTCTAACTCCCAACCTATGGGTCTGAATTACGTTTTGTCAGTTCTCACAAGTCCTATTTTTCATGGAAAAGCTATTCATGTGAGCCACAAGGTCGTTCGGAGGCTGTTTTGAATTTTCACCCCTGAAACACCATTTTTCGACTAAGTTTAGGGTATATTCGGCTCTAACTCCCAACCTACGGGTCCGAATTATGTTCTGTCAGTTCTCACAAGTCCTATTTGTCATAGGAAAATTGTCCGTGTGAGCCACACAGTGGTTCGGGGGCTGTTATGAATTTTTGCCCCCGGAAAGTCCTTTTTCGACTAAGTTTAGGGCATATTCGGCTCTAATTCCCAACCTACAGGTCTGGATTATGTTCTGTCAGTTGTCACATGTCCTATTTGTCATGGGGGAACTGTCCGTGTGAGCCATACAGCGGTTCGGGGGCTGTGTTGAATTTTCACCCCCGCAATGCCCTTTTTCGACTAAGTTTAGGGCATATTCGGCTCTAACTCCCAACCTACGGGTCCGAATTACATTTCGTCAATTCTCACAAGTCCTATTTGTCATGGAAAATCTATCCCTGTGAGCCCCATGATCGTTCGGGGGCAGTTTTGAATTTTTGCCCCCAAAACGCCATTTTTCGACTAAGTTTAGGTTGTATTCGGCTTTAACTCCCAACCTACAGGTCTGAATTACATTCTGTCATTTCTCGCAAGTCCTATTTATCATGGGGGAACTGTCTGTGTGAGCCACACGGTGGTTCAGGAGCTGTTATGAATTTTTGCCCCCGGAAAGTCCTTTTCCGAGTAAGTTTAGGGCGTATTTGGCTCTAACTCCCAACCTACGGGTACGGATTACGTTCCGTCAGTTGTCACAAGTCCTATTTGTCATGGGGGAACTATCCATTTGAGCCACATGGTGGTTCGGGGGCTGTTTTGAATTTTTGCGCCCGAAACGCCCTTTTTCGACTAAGTTTAGGGCGTATTCGGCTTTAACTCCCAATCTACGGGTCCGAATTACGTTCAGTCAGTTCTCACTAGTCCTATTTGTCATGGGGGCTATTTGTGAGAGTCATATGGTCATTCGGAGGCTGTTTTTGAATTTTTGCCCCGAAAAGCTGTTTTTCTAATAAGTTTGAGGCGTATTCGGCTTTAACTCTCTACCTACCGGTCCGAATTACGTTCCGTCAATTGTCACAAGTCTTATTTGTCATGGAGAAGCTATCCATGAGAGTCATACGATGGATTGGAAGCTGTCTGTGAGAGTCACACGGTGGTTTGGGAGCTGTTTTTAATTTTCGCCTCCGTAACGCCCTTTTCCGACTAAGTTTAGGGCGTATTCGGCTCTAACTCCCTACCTACAGGTCCGAATTACATTCCGTCAATTGTCACAAGTCCTATTTGTCATGAGGAAACTGTTCGTGTGAGCCACACGGTGGTTCGGGGACTGTTTTGAATTTTTGCCCCTGAAACGCCCATTTTTGAGTAAGTTTAGGGTGTATTTGGCTCTAACTCTTTACCTACAGGTCCGAATTACATTCCGTCAGTTGTCACAAGCCCTGTTTTTCATGGAGAAGCTATCCGTGAGAGTCATACGGTAGTTTGGGGGCTGTTTTGAATTTTTGCCCCCGAAATGCCCTTTTTCTTATTATTAATAATACCCACCTGCATTATATAACCTGAGTTTTTCTTAAGCCCGAGATTATTAATAGTTCCATTATTTTAATATAAGAACTCAAGTACAATGCCTTCTCTGTCTTCTTGTTCTTTTTAATATTTTTCTTAAATTGTCCAAACACATCCTGAGGTAGATCAAGAATAGGTTACTATGCCAATAAAGCTGATGTTTGTTAGTCAGTCTGAAGTCATTAATAAAATTATTAACTTATTGACGAGAATAAATGGTCAGCAATTGTTTAACTTAAACCACAATTGCAAGATTCAACACATCAGAGAATCCCTTATTAAGAGTTGTTGAGCATTTTGCTGCCCATGAAGAAATATATTAGAGATGGAAAAGGACATTCAGCTTCATAAAAAAAGCTAAAAAGAAAAGAAAATGAAAGTGAAGCAAAGAAAAACATATGAGTTTGAAGTGAAGAATGCAGAAAAGGAACATCCCATGAAGATCCAATGAAATTTGAGGACAAAGACATCTAATAGGCTAACACAATCACCTCTAATGTAAAGTGTTTTAAAAAAGATGATTTTTACTGTCTGTTCAATCATTTGTGGTTAGGGAAGAATTACTTTGACTAAGAATAATTACTGTCTAGTATGTTGCATTCAATGGTCATCATGGTGATGAAAGTTGAATGACCAGCTGGCCCCAACCTTTTTTACATTTTCCAAAACTTGATATTTATTTACCCTATCCTTCTTTAGAACATGGAACATAATCTTCTGGCAACCTGTGTCGTCGAAGTTAGTAACACTTCTAGCAGCAAATTAACAACAATAATAAACATGCATTGAGGACAAAAGAAAAGAAAACAAAGGGTTAACTATGCTAATGTTTGATTCTAGTGTAATAGGTTCTTGGAGAGCATATTGGAGATAAGGATTTGGATTAAACATGATGGGTGACAAGTAGCATCCTAGCAGGGTTGAAGATGACTCATTGTTTGGTTCAGGTGCTATTTGGAAAAAACTATCTGATCAAAGTATGACTATGTATCTCTCCTTTTTCATTCATTTTACCTTGATATGGTAATGGAAACTGTTCTAAAATCATATAAATGATGTAAAAAACAGAACCAGTTTTATTCATGTGCCTTGGGGTTTGTAGGGAAGAAAGTCCAGAGGGTTGTGATCATTTAGGCTTCACACAGTTGCTTTCCCAACATTACCAACACCATAGATGTTATTGTTTTGGACTTTTTTTTTTTTTTCTTTTTTGAACTAGTTTTAGACTGTTATTTTCCATGGCCATTTTTTGAGGGACTGCAAACCTACATAGATACATGCATACATACAACATATACAATATCCATTATTGGCTGTAATTTGTTAAAAAAAAAATCAAGATAACCCCTCACAACCACACCCCTTAGAATAATGAATAAATCAAAGGTGGTGTCATTTCTCCTCGCCCTTGAAATGCCATTTTTCGAGCAAGTTTAAGGCATATTCGGTTGTAACTCCCAACCTACGGGTCCGGATTACATTCCGTCAGTTGTCATGAGTCCAATTTGTCATGGGAAAACTCTCCGTGAGAGCCACACGGTGGTTCGGGGGTTGTTTTGAATTTTCGCCCCCGGAACGCCCTTTTTCAAGTAAGTTTACGGCATATTTGGCTCTAACTCCAAGCCTATAGGTCCAAATTACATTCCGTCTGTTGTCACAGGTCCTAATTGTCATGGGGAAGCTGTCCGTGATAGCCATACAGTGGTGAGGGGACTGTTTTGAATTTTCTTCCCCAGAACGCCATTTTTTGACTAAGTGTAAGGCATTTTCGGCTCTAACTCCCAACCTACGGGTCCGAATTACATTCCGTCTGTTGTCACAGGTCCTAATTGTCATGGGGAAGCTATTAATTCGAGAGAGAAGAATCTATTAATAAATCAAGCTGCTGATGTTTCTGCTTTTAAGTCTATAGTTTTAACTTTCTAAATGCCTATTCATATACATTATAAAAAGTGACAAAACCTTTCTTTCCATGGACCTTAGGTTGCATGAACAACTCTTTTGTGCTTCAACATTGACCACCTTTGGAAACAATAATGGGACAAAGACACGCTTAAGTAGATGGAGTTAATTTGAAAACTCTTGAAATTGAAATTGAGATTGATTTTCCCATAGGTTTGTAACATTGATGAAGTATAAGATAAGATAAATGGTTCTTGGAGAATGATTGTAACTCTAACCTCCTGATAGTTCCCAAGAGGGATCACAATGGGAACTCCTGATACTAAAGCCGGCTCACACAACTTTATCGCTCTATGCAGATCTTTCAAATGACCCCATTTGGGTTGCCTTAATAGTCCTAGACCAAAAGAGGAAATTACCCTTAAGTTTACTGAAGAACATATAATCTTTAAAATTTTATGTTTTTTTGAGCCATCTACATCTCCCTATCAGGAAAAGGAATGACATTTTCTTACGAGTCATGACAAAAATGATTGTAGAGAAGCTATCAACATGACTGTTGCAATCATTTTATTGTCGAACTTTCACTTTCATGTTGAGTTCCCCATCAACTGATAATATTTAGCTACTCTAATCAATTTGATCACCATCATAACCACTAACAACGCCACAATTATGGAGGGATATAGCTATTACTTAAAAAAAAAATGTCAACATGAGTAATTTTACTCCATGATAAACCCAATTCAATCAATCACATGTCTGACATCAATTTTACTCTATAATTATATTGGGTGGTATTATCTATAGGAAGATACATAAACTAGGAATATGAAAGGCTCTTCTAGGGGTGTGAGAGTCATGTACCAAGTATATTAAGGGCACTCTAGTGTGCTACAAGTAAAGTCACAAGAAAGATTAATAATATAGAAATATATTCTGATTGAATTCTAAGTTCATATTGAACGAACTCCTAATTCACAAAGTTGAGAACAAAGGTGAGTCAATGTTACTCTCCTAATCGGCAAAATTCTTTTGAAAGGGATTATAGGAGTGTGAGATTAATCTATCTACAAACTTCTATGTTAATCTTGTATAAAGGGCACTCTACTGTGCTACAAGTAAAATTAAAAAAAGAAATGTTAATAACATAGAAATATATTCTAATTGAATTCATTTATTTTAGTTCTGCCTTGTTAGTTATTCCATAAATGTAGTTCTTTTTTTCCTCCAATAATTGTATTTCTTGCTTTAAATTAAGGGGAATGCTAATTAATTTTGTAGAATATCATTAATAGCCATCCTATGTTAGTTTTTTCATTTGAAGTAAATTTGTGTAAAAAAATTAATCATTTGTCAGTAAAAATAACTTGTATTTCATTAACAGATGTAGGCTACTATGTTTCGGCCAAGTCTTTCGCATAGGATTGATGCAGTCTTTATACCAGAAACTGCAGAAACACTTTATTCAACCAAAAAATATTTTCTCTATATCTACCCAGTGTCATTCAAGAAGGGAAAAAAATAGAGCCTAAGCATCAACAACTAAAATTTCCTCTCATCAACTATATAACTCTAAAGCATATATGATGAGCTTATCTTAGGTGAAAGTTGAAGACTTAAAAGCATAATAAGAAGAAGAGCAACTACTGCATGTTAACCTCACGGATGGCAGACACATTCCTAGCTTTCTCCAGCACTTTAAACCCTGGTGCCTCCGAGTTTAATATTACTGGTTTCATTCCTTCTCTAAGTAACCTACAGGAAAAACTGCAAAATTGAACTTAAAAGTCAGAAATGTTAGTATTAGACTTGAAGTCTAACTGATGTGGAAAGTCATATCTACCAATCATACCCAATATTAATTGCAGTTTTATCTCCTGTCAAAACCCATATTTTTATTTCAACTTGTGCAAGCTTGTCGATGCATTCAGGAACCTATGCCAAAGCACCCAAAACAAATCATTCATAATGATGATGATAACAATAAATAATTTGAAATTAAACATGAATCAATAAAACCAATACCCAATATCATAAAAAAAAATGGTGGATGTTTATATATAACACTCAAGATGAATTTGTGAGGCAACATGAAATTGGTTGTGTTGGAATTCAAAATAAGGTTCTCAGCAAACTGAGATGGTAGCTTTAGTGGGAAATGAATAGCCCCAAAAAAAAAAAATTGAAAAAATTGGCAAAGAATAGGAATGCTATATATAAGAAAGCATCACTACCTTGTCCAATGCTGGGGTGATAAAGTCAACAAGTTCTGGAACAATAAGAACCTGAGCTCCCCTTTCTCCTTGGGCATAGCAATGAATATTAAAACCTAACTGGCAATCATTAAGCATCAACCTAAACATAATTCATAAGAGTACATTAAGGATGGTAATAATTTATTGATTATAAAAATCAAAAGATGCTAGGTAATAAAAAAGGAATCAGAAAAACTGAGGAAAATTATAATTAAAACATTCTCTACCAAAAACTGATAACACTTTTATTTGATAATTTCTATTTTTGAATACATGAGATTACATACAATGGATTAGGGCTTTGAAACTAATGAGAGAGAACGGAAAAATAGGGGGAAAAAGGTATCAAACCCTAAAATCAAACCCATTTACAACATTAAACCCATAAAATTCTAGCAAAGAAAACCACTTCAAACAAACCCATTTCAGAAGTGAAGACAAAATTAAACTGAATGGGTAGAATAAACGACCCTAAAGCAAGAGTTCACAGTTGGGGATATAGAAGAAGGGGTAGAGAGAGAGCGAGATAGAGAGAGTCAGAGCAAGACAGAGAGCGAGAGAGTAACAGAGCAAAAGCGAGTGAGAGAGCGAACCTGTTAGCGGTGGTGGCGATGCTAATTTGTGGCGTACGGGGACCAACGATGCTGAGGATGTGCGGTCGTGAGGTTTGATCACTGTGAGGTTTGTTGATTTGCAGTGGTGAAGTTGGTTGAGACAGAGGATCTGTGGTTGTGGTGTATACACAAAGAGGGTAAAAGTGTGAGACAAATGCGCAAATATGAAATTACTCCTTCTATAAAATGTTGAGCTTCCGCGACTAAATGATTTATTTGTCGGGAAATGTATAATTTCATGCCATTTGGCGACTAAATATTATTTTGGTCGCTAAAAAGGGTGCAAAAAATCTGACTAAATATTATTTTAGCCTAAATTATATATTATTGCCGACTAAAATTGTTTTAGTAGCTAAAAGTAGTAATTTGGCGACTAAATATTTTGGTCGCCAATTAATTTTATAAATCCCTCCAAAATTCAAAATTTTCCCTCCAAATATTTTAATTCTTTGACGACTAAAATATTGTTTAGTCGCTAAAAATAAATTTTTGGCGACCAAATTTTTGGTCGCCAAAAGTCTGAAGTAACTTTTTGTTTTTCATTCAGCGACTAAAAAAATTTAGTAGCCAAAACTATCTATACAGCGACTAAAACATTTTTTAGTCGCCAATTGTGGTATTTTTAGTGACTAAAACTTTTTTTAGTCGCCAATAATCAATATTTCTCGACTAAAAAAAATTTGTAGCTGAATATTGTACTTTTGCCGACTAAAAAAATTTTCGGTCGCCAATTCCACAAGTTTTGGCGACTAAATTTTTTTTAGTCGCCAAATTTGCTCGCCAAAAGTGCATTTTGTTGTAGTGATATATGTGTATATATATATTATAATTAGATAAAAGAAATGAATACTTAAAGTTTGTGGTAATAATAATATTAAAAGTCTCCCTGTTTATATATATGAAAAGAAGAGAAATTATTTAGACTAAAACTTTTTTTAGTCGCCAATAATCAATATTTCCCGACTAAAAAAAATTAGTAGCTGAATATTGTACTTTTGCCGACTAAAAAAATTTTTGGTCGCCAATTCCACAAGTTTTGGCGACTAAATTTTTTTTAGTCGCCAAATTTGCTCGCCAAAAGTGCATTTTGTTGTAGTGATATATGTGTATATATATATTATAATTAGATAAAAGAAATGAATACTTAAAGTTTGTGGTAATAATAATATTAAAAGTCTCCCTGTTTATATATATGAAAAGAAGAGAAATTATTTAGTGTATTAAGGATTTAAATGATTCTTAGTTTTTTTGACTATTTGAAATGTGGTCGGGTATCTACAAATATCGGGTATCTATAGGTATTTGTGGGGGCGGGGAAAGGGTTGAAAAATTCCACCCGTAGCAAGTTGGGCTGGGGCGAGGGCGGGGGTAGAGTTTTATTTTGGAATAAAAATCTAGTTGGAATATTTTTATTTTTGTTTTTTGTTTAAAATGTGGTTAAGCATAAAAACACTAATCCAAGCCTCTTAATCACTTACAATGAAAACAAATTTTAAGAACATTGAATTTTTTCTTAAAGAAACACATGAAAAAAACGAATTAAGAAAATACACACACAAATTTTGAAAAAGAAGGAAAAAAAAAAGATTAAATGTTTTTTAAGAACATTGAATTTTTTTTTTAAAAAAAAAAAACATACACACTAAAAAAAATAAAGAAAAAAACAAACAAATTCTATTTAAAAAAACAAAATTTATACTCAAAAAAACAAACAAAAGCTTAAAAAAAGTGAATAACAAAAAAAATTAATATAAAAATACAAAAGCACGTAAAATAGGAAAATATAAACCCAAGACTCTTAGAATATTATAATCAAAGAGACTTGATATACAGAATAATAATAATAATAATAATAATAATACACATCTCCTAGAAGAAGATACTGAGTCTCAAGACTCTCTAACCCAAACTGATTTTGAAGTAATACCTCCAATAAATCCTTAATTAATGACAACTAGTAAACCTTTTGCTCCTGATCTTGATAAACTCCTTATTAATTTTAGGTCTAAAGAAAATAAGGCTAAAAGACATGCTTATCGTGATAAATATGATTCTACTCAACAATCCAGAATAACTCGCAAATAGTATGACTTTATGATGAAGATACTGCGTCTCAAGACTCTCCTACCCAAACTGATTTTGAAGTAATACCTCCAATAAATCCTCAATTAATGACAACTAGTAAACCTTTTGCTCCTGATCTTGATAAACTCCTTATTAATTTTAGGTCTAAAGAAAATAAGGCTAAAAGACATGCTTATCGTGATAAATATGATTCTACTCAACAATCCAGAATAACTCGCAAATAGTATGACTTTATGATTGAATATAGCCTAGAAATCCATTTTTTTGAATACTTTGAAAATTATTACAAAAAATTAAATACAATCACAAAAATTAAATACAAATAATAATAATGATAATAATCGTGAAATCTATTAAGATTTTAAAAAAATAATAATAAAACCAAAAAAACAAACCAAAAGAAAAAACTGTTTTTTTCTTATATATTTTAAAGAACACTAAATTCTTTCTCTAAAAGAACGCATAACCAAAAAAAAAAAAAAACAAAACAAAACAAACAAAAAAGGAAAAAAAAAAAAGAAGAAGAAAAAGAAGAAGAAAACAAACAAACAAATTTTTAAAAAACTACAAATTTAAAATTCTTAGAACACTTATTTTTAAAGAGAAAACAAACTACAAATTATATATATATATATATATTTCCAAATAACTTGATAACATAATGGAACTTTTCAATGAAGAAAATAAAAAGTATAATTAATAAATATTACACTTATAGCATAGGATAAGATTGCAATATCCTTCAACAATCATAAGATTACAATGTTCTCGAATAGAAAACTGATATTTTATTGTGAATGAGAGAAGTAAAGATGGTGAAAGTGAATTAAAATTGCACAATAAAGCACACAAAATAAAAAAATACATACCCAAGACTCTTAGAATATTATAATTAAAGAGATTTGATATACTCAAAATAATAATAATAGTGAAATCTATTAACATTAAAAAAAATAATAATAAGTCCAAAAGAATAAACTTTTTATTTTTAAGAACACTAAATTCTATCTTAAAAGAACACACAGCAAAAAAAGATTAAATAAACAAATTTTCAAAAAACTATAAGTCCAAAATTCTGAGAACACTTATTTTCAAATAGATTTAACATATACAAAAAATAAAAAATAAAAAATAAAGAGTTACAGTGAAACATACTTGATAAGAAAAAAAAATTAAGAAAGCAAACAAACAGTTTTTTTGACAAACTACAAGCCTAAGATTCTTTGTCAAAGAGATTTTAATATAAGAAAAAAAATTAAAGAAAAAACTATTTTTAAAAAAATAAATTTTAAGAAATATTGAATTATTTCTTATACTCAGCTATTATTATTATTTTTTTTTCAAAGAACTTGATGAGAGCATAATTAAGCCACTGGGCCCCGTGCCTTGCACATATTTTCCGTTTTGGCATTCCGATCGCACGATTTTGTTCCGATCCCACTGGGGGAAAAGGCCTATGCAATGTAAGAGGAGTCAGCCTGCTTACAAGGTGGGAAAGTAGTCCCTCACAGACCGATGTGGGATTTCCCGCACATTAGCCCCCAGCTGCGCTGGCTCCGGTCACCCCGGAGGGAGTTTCCACAGACGGCGTCAAATAAAACCACCAGTCCCCGTGCCTTGCACATATTGTCCGCTTTGGCATTCCGACCGCACGGTTTTGTTCCTCCCCCACTGGGAGAAAAGGCCTATGCAAGGTAAGAGGAGCCAGTCTGCTTATAAGGTGGGAAAAGTAGTCCCTCACAGACCGATGCGGGATTTTCCGCACACTTACAATGTAGGATAAGATTGCAATGTTGTTGAATAATCATAAGATTGCAATTATGAATCTAAAAAAAAAAAATATGAATCTAAAAAATAAGATTGCAATGTTCTTCAATAGATAAGTGATATTTTACTCTTAATAGAGAGAAGTGAAAATGGTGAAAATGAATTGAAATTGTATAATAATTTTTTTATTTTTATTTTTATTATTATTTTTTTTAAAGATAAGAATTGCACAACATCGTAAAAAGAGAAAGAAATCAAGATAAATAAATAAATGATGAGAGTAATTGATTGTGGCATTGAAGAAGTTTAGAATAGTATGTAACTATTGGCTTGGAGAGCGTGTTTAGTAGAAAGAACATGCGTGATTAATTTCTTTTATTATTATTATTATTATGTTTATCTAAATTTCATGTGGTATAAAGTTTCAAGACACTAAATTAAGAGTTGGCTTTTAATAATAACTAGTGGGTGGCACACACGATGCGTGTGCAATTTAAATAAGTAGGAATAAAAAATAATAATAATGAAATTAATATTATAATATGTACTTAGCTTAAGTGGTATGAGTTCTCGTACTTAAACCCATGGTCATGGGTTCAAGCCTTGCCCATCTCTTTGTTGAAGTTTTTTTAAA